ATTTTCCATAAATGCCATCAATTAAGATCGCATGAGACTGTCTGCTACATCGTTAGGGCAGCTAATTTTTAGCTAAATTTGTTGCCCGGCAGCTAATTTTTAGCTAAATTTGTTGCCCTTCCCTACATGCATACTGGCACTAGGAGTCAATATTCATTCATGTAACAAATTTGTAATGTGTGCAAAGGGACCAGGCACTATGTCAGGTAACAGGATTGCAGAACCTGCAGAAGGAAAACAAAAACAAACATGGCCTTGATCTGATTTAGTGCAAGAGACATATATAAATAAATATACATGCAAAAAAATCTACAAAAAATATAATACATAGGGTCTCATTTTATTCAACGATATTCATTCAACAAATACCAAATGCCAACATCAAGTTGCATGCTGGGAATAAAATGATCATCAAAACCAACCAGGTACCAACCTACAGTCTGGGGGACTTTTTTTTTTAAAAGTTATAACATTTTCTTCACAAGTTTCTTAGCTATTTGTTGGATTCTGTTTCTTGGAGGAGCATTTCCATTTTATTACATCCATACACATATGAAACTTGCGCATATCAGAATCACATTCTTTGTTTGATTTGTTGCCATGAAGCCTTAGATAATTTTACAAATATGAGAAAGTAATATACACACCATTTGTCCTTCATACTTTTTCCTAGTTCTGTCCTCACCTTCTGAGCATCTCATGCTCTATTCCCCATGCCCCCAATAAGGCGAATTTGAAAATATATCAGTGTCTTTTTATATTTTTATTCATAATCATAAAATCCTACAAAACAACATGCACACGTACACATACACACGCGGCATGCTAACAATCACATACACACAGAGAGGATATTTCTCTGGTATCATTTGTTTTACACACACTTTTCTGCATCTTGCATTACTCATGCAAATATTTCTTCAGGAAAATCTCTCCAAGTCATCTGGTATGGCTCCAAATCTTTTTTTATGGTTGCACAATATTTCATGGTGGAGCTATCAGTTTATTTAGCCATTTCTCTTTTGACAAGGAATTCACTTTTTTCTCTTGGCCACTACGAACAACCACACATAAACATATATGCTCTCATGACTTGTTTTGATGCAATAAATTGCTGGGAGTAAAATGCTGGTTCTCAAATGCTGGTTCTCAAATATTAATATATTTTCCCAGTTGCTTTCCAAAAAGGATATAACGGTTCATATTTTCAGAAGTATGTGTCCTTCATACACATCCCAACAAGGAGCTTGATTTGTTTTTAATTTTGTTTGTCTAATAGGTACAAATTGATACTTTTCCCCGATTACCAATGAATTCACTTCATTTTTATAGATTACCCTATGATCACTACTGGAAGTCACCAAATAGTGAGCCCCTTTGATCCATTTTTGGTGTAACGGTACATGAATTTTTTTTACTTCTCCTGATTCATTGTTTGCATATAGAAATGCTACTGATTTTAGTTATTGAGTTTGTATCCAGTCACTTCACTGTATTAGTTTATTTCCAATGCTTTTTTGGTTGTGTTTTTTGGATTTTCTATGTCTATTATGTCACTGCAAATAGTAATAGCCACTCTTTTTTATTTTCCAATTTGGATTCTTTTTATGTCTTTTTCTTGCTTAATTGCTCCAGCTAGGACTTCTAATACTATGTTGAACAGTGGTGGTGAAAATGGGTATTCTCATCTTGTTCCTTATTTTAGGAAAAAAATGCTTTTAATTTTTCACCATGGAATATAATGTTGGCTGTGGGTTTGTCATATATGGCATGTATTATGTTGTTACATGTTCCATTTATTTTCATCACGATTTCAATGCTTGAAATTATGTATAGATAAAGGGATGAATTGGCACATGCAGAAGCAATAGCTAATGAATGGGATGGGGAAAATGGTACTCATAACAATTACAGAAATTGCAATTTCACAAATCTTGAGAAAGTGGTAGGCTCAGGTTAGCCAACTATTATCTCAAGGCCTTCTGTGAAAGTCAGATAGCCTCCATAGCAGTATTTGAAGAAAACCTTATCTCTTGCAGCTATAGGGCAGACTACAGCTCAGGATTTCATTGTGAAGGTTACAGAGTTACAAAGGAGACTGAAGTAAGCCTTTGAAAGTCTCCTATGTCAAAGTAAGTGTCCAACAAAGAAAGGGTGGGACCTTAAAACTAGGGAAAGCCATATTTAGACAGATGATCAGAGTCAGAGTTTAACAATCTAGAGTCAGAATTTAACAACAAGAGTCAGAATTTAGCAATCTAGCAAGAATAACCTGAGTTGGTATATACTGTTGTGATGGTACCTTAGAGCTTCTACATGGCTGTGGTCAAGAACTGCCTTTGCAGAATATTGAAGAAGGATTCAGAAGTCTAAAAGAGATGGGCATATTAGGGTAGATTTCTTATGTGACATCAATGAATTTATCATTTGACTATGTTCTCCAGGAAGACTGAGAGGACACTCTCTTAAAAAATAAAAATAAAAATAAAAGCTTTCAATTAAATAACAGGTTTAAAAAAAAAATCAGTGATGAGAGAGAAATAACCTCTTTCGTAGACCTGGTTCGACAATAGGTGATGCTGCCATGGGATTCTAGAATGACAGTGGGTGGACATAATGGTCAAACATGGCTGCAAAGCAACCAGGTGCCCTGAAGCCCAGGAATCTATGACAATAGAAACTAGATCATAGTATTCCTGGGGCAAGAAATACGAGTAATCAACTTGAGTGTAACTTGACTTGTATAACTAAAAAAAAAAAAAGACACCACAAAGACCACAAACAACAAACTAGTAGTCGACACCAGCTGTCACAATATAATTGGAAAGTTTCTATCTCAGACTAGTTTTTAGATCCAATTCAGTTAATTAACACAGAGACTACCTGAGTCAAGGAAGTATCCTGCCATGGCACCATTAAAGATGTAATATATACCCTAGTATCTCCCCCCCCCCACCCAAACCTGTGGCCATTTATCAGAATTTCTGGTATTGTGATAAGAAGAATAGTCAAAACTTTAGAACATCACTAAATATATGATCTGAGCCAACATAGATAGCAGGGACCCAAAATATCATCATGGCCTCCCATTAGAATGGAAGTGTATAAAGGCCAGAGGATAACCGGAATCTGCTTCATCTTGCAGAGAATCCACACTTAGTTTCTTGGTTTCTGAGTGCATAACTGTGAAAAGTATATTCAAAACTGCTTAGATGCTCATATTGCTTCCCTGTCAAGTGGAGGAAAGCCATTTTGGTAAGAAGAGTCAAATAGAAACTCCCCAAAATATTACTACTCTCACTGAGAGTATAAATTAGATGCAAAATTTCATGTCTAGAGGAATTACAGAGATTGGCATCACAAATAAAGACTTAAAAGATGCAGAGAGGTGGTTGTCACCATACGCCTGTTTAATGCACTTCTATAGCCCCTAAAGAAATCAGGTGGATTAAGGTATATAACAACACATTACTATTAACTTAACCAAGTAGTAGATAAAATTAAACATGCTGGTGTGAGTTCTCTACAGCAACAGATTAACAGTCCCTGGTTCTTTGACTTAGCATTAAGGAAAATCAAAAACATTTTGCTTTTGCATAGGGATGACAGCAACATACACACATTATTATTCCTCAAGGCATCATTAGCTCTCTGACTTAGTGTCACAGTAATGTTGCCAGGCAAGACAGAATGAGCCTAAACATAAGGTAATTTTTTTTTTCTCAAATCATAACTCAGAAAAGAGGAAGTTGCCTTACATTCAACTCTATACAAAGTCCTACATTATTTCTCAATAACTTTACTTTAAATAATAAAGTACCACCTGTAAAAGGCACATGAACCAGAAGAGACCAAATTAATTCTGGTTTTGTATGCCTAAGGTCAGTTTAAGAAGATACAGGAAAAAAAATACAGTAATTATAGTGTACTAAATGCTAAATACAATAAATATACTTAAAAATTTTTAGTACTTACAATGTCTACTAATTATATAGATACATATATTTGTTCCATCAGTCTTTACTAGAAGTAGCTCCAAGAAGATAGAAAATTGCTCATCTACACTGCAAGTATCTAAACAGAATCCTTAGTGTCTAGGATAACTCAAAGTCAAACCAATCTAACTGAAGCATTTCCTCAAAGTCTCCCCCTAGAGACCCAATAAAAAAACTGATGATTTGACTTGAGGGCTAGTAATAATGTGTTAATAGGAAAGGGATCTACAACTTTTGTGCTCGGTGTCAAAGAGTAAATATTTCGGTTTGTGGACCATACAATCTCTGTTACTCAACTCTGTCATTGTAGCACAAAAGCAGTCATAGAGTGAGTGTGGCTGTGTTCTAATAAGACTTTCTTTATGGACACTGAAATTTGAATTCCATATGCTTTGGAATATCGTGAAACAGTCTTCTTTCTTTTTTTTTTCCAATCATTTTAAAATGTAAAAAGCATTTTTAGCTCATGGTACATATTAAAACAGGTGGCAAACCAAGCTGACCTTCTGGCCAAAGTTTATGTCCCCTTGTAGGTAAATAAAACACTGAATTTAGAGTTAAAAACCTTGAGTGAAGAACCACTACTGCTTTCAATTGTACAATGTGAGACTTTGGGAAAATCAAATTAGTTCAAATAAGCTCTCAAGATTTCGATTTACTAATCTATTAAATAAAAACATTTAGGGCCTCCCTGGTGGTGCAAGAGGTTAAGTTTCAGCACTATGAAGCTATTGGCAGCCACTGCAGCACGAGTTCGACCCCTGGCCAGGGAGCTGACCCACATGGCACAGCAGACCTCTCTGTCTCCCCCACTGCTCCCCTCAGCAGTATATTTCAGTCAATCCACCTGTCGGGCTCCCTACTCTCTCATGAATCCTCTCACCTCTCATCTCCCCATCCCCCACATCTCTGGCCTACACCCCAGCTCTTGTATGCATAAATAAATAAAACAAATAATAAATCCTTATAAATAAAAACAGTTAATTAAATGTTTAAACGCTTAAATTAAAAATCCTTTCAACTCTAAAATTTCTGTAGTGGCTTCTTGTAAAGGCAGGACAGGACACAGTGCAGGTTTTCTGATTCAGCAGACCGGGTAAAGGAGGAGTCAGAGTCCTCAGTGGTCTTGCAGGTCTTTTTATTGGGATTTACCCGGTACACAGCAGGTAAGGAAGCTGGGGGGCCAGCCCCCAGCAAGTCTTCATTCTATCTGGGCTCTCCGGTCTTGTCTCAACTTCTACTTCTCTTGCTTCTCTCTCGGCTTCTCTTTTGGCTTCTGCTGCCGCTGGCGTCCCTGTGACGCTGCCCTTAAAAAAAAAGCACAGTCTTAGCCCAGGTGAATCCCATCTACCTATGCCCACACCCTATTCCAGGTGCCCGCCATCAGGCATGCATTCAGGACCTCAAGGATCCATCATCTATCCTGATGGCGGGAGGGCAGAAAAGCCTGACATTTTTCCTTACCCTACACTTCTATTTCTAGCAATATGGCAGACTAGATGTACAAAAATTGCTTCCCAATACAAAAATTACATTAAAATACTAAATAAAATAAAATATCTTAAAAATTTTTGGTGAGCCACAGCAAATTGAAAGAGAATTCCTCTGAGGCCAAAAATGACCCCCCAAAATCCAAAGAGTTCTCAAAAAAGTCCTCAATTCAAAACTTTTCTGGGGTACCTTTCAACCTCTGGGACCCTAGCCATTCAAGTGTAACATGTCTCAACTGGAGGTAAGAAGAAAGGTCTGTACTGAAAGGGAAGTCAAATATGAGACCTTCAAACAAAGCAAGAACCCCAATGTCCATCACCACCAGAGTACCACTCAGTAGGGAAAATAACTATCAGAAGATTGGGATAGACGAGAACTTCCTCAAACTTATAAAGGACATACATGAAAACCTACAACTAACATTATGCTTAATGTTAGGACATTAGGGCCTCCCCCGGTGGCGCAGGTGGTTGAGCGCCACGCTGTGAAACTGTCCGCAGCTTCTGCAGCGCCAGTTGGATCCCGGCCGGCGAGGGTCCCACATGACACGACAGACCTCTCCTGTCTCGCCCACTGCTCCCCTCAGCAGTGTATTTCTTCAGTCTGCCTGTTCTGTTCCCTGCTCTGTCTCTGGTGAATCCTCTCACCCTCCCGCTGATCTGGCTTGTACCCTGGTTCTTGTATAAATCAATAAATCTTTAAAAAAAAATTAGGACATTAAATGTTTTCTCCCAGAGATCAAATATAGGGTAAGGATGCTCATTCTCAACACCATTATTTTACATTATACTGGCAGTCCTAGCAGGGCAATAAGCCAAGAGAAAGAGGGGGAGGAAACAGTGATATTGGCAAGATGGTGGAAATCCAGACCTTATTTCTCCACAGCCCAGCTCTCATTTATCCACAGAATCATTGATTTGGCAACCACATTAGAAATAAAAAACCATAATAAGAATTCCAGAATCCAGTTAAGAAGCTTAAGTATCTATCACATAAGCAAAACATGAGATCAGTCATACTGACGTAGATAAGAATTTCACTTTTTGGTTCTTCAAGAAAGAAAAAGGAAAAAGAAATGGAGTCCTATGAATTGCCTGAGAAAGAACTCAAAATAATCAAGAACTCAAAATAAAGAAATTCAATGAGTTACCAAAGAACACAGAAAACTAAACAAAATCAGGAAAGTGAGACATGAACAAGATGAGAATATCAACAAAGAGACAAACTATTCAAATGTACCAAATTGAAATCATAGAGCTAAAGAACATAACTGAATCTAAAAACTCACCAGAGGGATTCAACATCAGACTTGATCAAGCAGAAGAAACAGTCATTTGAAATTAGGAACTCAGAAGGAAAAAGAGTAAAGAAATCCTGGGCCTCCCTGGTGGTGCAGGCGGTTGAGCGCAGTGCTGTGAAGCTGTCGCAGCCTCTGCAGTGCCGGTTGGATCCCTGCCGGCCTCAGAGCAACCCACATGGCGCGCAGACCTCTCCTGTCTTGCCCACTGCTCCCCTCAGCGGTGTATTTCGTCAGTCTGCCTGTTCTGTACCCCGCTCTATCCCTGGTAAATCCTCTCACCCTCCTGCGCATCTGGCCTGTACCCCAGCTCTTGTATAAATAAAAAATAAATCTTAAAAAAAAAGAAAGAAAGAAAGAAAGAAAGCCTAAGGGGAAAGTAGGATACCAACAAGGGAACTAAGACACACATTATAGGAGTCCCAGGAGGAGGAGGAGGGAAGGGGAGAGGAAGAAAAAAAGAGGGAGGGGAGAGAGAGAGAAATTTATATAAAGAAACTATGCCAGAGCTACACTGGAGTTCAAATTCTGCTATTTTTTTTAATTAACTTACGGTAAGTTTGACAAGTATTATATTTTAGCCTCCCTAAGCCTTAGTTTCTTCTCCTGTAGAATGGATAAAATATAGCCCCTACTCCTGAACACTATTGTGAAGTTGAAAGATAAATCTCACATAAAAGAATAGTTCCTGGACATAAATGCTTGACAAATAGTCATAATTCTTTTTGTGTGTGAATAGATGATGAGGGTGAGATTTCTATCAACAGTTAGCTAGCAAAATACACTGTATGTTGCAGAGCTGTTTTACTTTCTCCCTCTGAGAGGAAGCCTCTTCTTTTGCCTCCTAGTCAGTCAGTATCTGGCAGTTTTGCCATCCCAAAGCCTCTCAGCACTTCAAGTAGGAAGGCAGTATAAAAACACTAAAGAAAGAATGGCTGAAAACTTCCCAAATCTTATGAAAGAAATGGATATGTAGACTCCCAAAACTTAGAGGATTCCAAATACTAAAAGGTAGAAAACTAAAAACTTTTCCTGTAAGATTGGGAAGAAGACAACAATGGCTATTTTTGCCACTTTTACTCAACATTGTACTGAAGGTCCTAGTCAGAGCAATCAGACAAGAAAAGTAAGTCATCCAGATTGGAAAGGACATAATTAAATTATCTGTCTGTGACACACAACCAGAAAGAGAAACTACCTTTTTGTATTTTAGAAATGGGTAAACTTACCTCAAAAATTTAGAAGAATAAATGCACAACAGGATCTCAGAAATGGAAAATGAAAGGGGAGGGGCGGGGAATCAAAATATTGAGAGACTTATCTTACCAAACAGTAGAATACGTAAGCCACTATATTAACTCAATTAGGCCTTGATATAGGAAAAGTATATCAGTAAAAATGAACATAAACTCCAAAGCCAAATCACAATAGTTTGAAATTTTTTAAATTATTCAATACAACATTGAAATCCAGGGGGAATATGTGTTAGTTCATAATTTGTGATTGTACAAGTGACTGCCTATGTGGGAGAGAAATGGGATTCCTGTCTCAAGCCATATTTACATATTCTAAGTGGCTTAAAATTTTTTAAATTAAAAAAAAATTAAAACTTGTATGGGGAGAAGGTCATGACCAAGAGAGCATGAAATGGACTTTGGGGGCTGTACCTTGGTTGGGGATACTTGGGTGTGTTCACTATGAAGTATCATGTAAAAGTATATTTACAAGATTTGGAATTTAAAATTGTGTGTATATATGTGTGTTATAGTTTTTTAAATGTTTACTTAAAATGGAAAAAAAATCTTGCAAAAAATCTAGATTATAATTATAGTCTAAGTGTGAGAAGACCTTCTTAACCCAGAAGCTGCAAATAAAGAATAAGTCACATTTGACTGAAAAAAAAATGTGAAACATTTGTATGGCAAATGGTATCACAAATAAAGCCAACATAAAATAGGTCAGCCAAAGATTTTTGTAGTATATATATATATCAGATACAAGTTCAACCATTTATAAATTAAAAAACTCTTATAATTTGACAAGAATGAGACAAATATTTCAATTCAAAAGTTGACCAAGGGGCAAACAATTTGGAGAGATGTAAACCCAAATGATTGATTAACATATAAAAAGAGGTTCAAATTCACTAGTAGTCAGAGGAAGATAAATTAAAATAACAATGAGATGTTTATCCATCAAACTACAGAAAATGCTAAAAGCACTAAAATAACTAGTGTTAGCACAGATGTAGGGGAAGGGGTGATAAGTTCATACATCACTGCTGAAGTGTGATGTGTCTGGCCTTTTTGGAAAGTTATCTGACAATTATAGATTTTAATTTAAAAATTTTAAAAACCTAACCCCTCAACCCTACAAGAAATTCTCCTCATGAGGATCAGATCAGCCCGAGGAAATATAATCACCAGTGTGAAGGACACATTTAGAAATGCTTACTGCCACATGTTCATAATGGGGAGAAAAATCTGGAAAGAAAATGAAGGGTGGGTATTCTCTCTCACAAGGGAATAATATGCAGTCACTAAAAAGAATGAAAAGGAGTATACCAGCATTTTCCTACCTTTTCTTGATTATCATTTCCTTTTGGGGTCTTTTTCCTTAATTGTTCTGTCATAAAATGTTAATATCACAGATAGACAGTTTGTTTATTTATTGTATGTGTATCAGTGCTTTATATATTAAAAGAGTACAGTTTTTTTCTACCACACTTCAAGAAGCACCCCCTGTTGTGGTTTTCAGCCCTGTTAAGGGATCAGGACTGAGTACACTCATTGACCTGGGGAGATTTTTCACAAGATAGTTTCTAGAAATTCCAATAAGAAAAGTACATATTATATGATTCCAATTGTTTAATATTAATCATTATAACTATATATGTACTTGTATATGTGTATGTGTGTGGTGTACATACACGTATGACAGTATGAGTAGGAAAAAAATATAGAAGGATATTGTCCAAAAGGATCACCTGGGTTTGGGAAGACCTGATGTGAGTGGGGCAGAGTAGGGGAACAGGGTCAAGCAAAAGAAAAAATGGGGAGATACTTCACTCACTAAAAATTGTGAAGTATGGAACAGGAAAAAGTGATCAAAAGTACAAACTTCCACTCATAAGTGTGTGCTAGAGGGGTAACATACAGCAAGGTGACTAAAGTTAACAGCACTTTATTGAGTATTTGAAAGTTGCTAAAAGTGTGGATTTAGAATTCTCAACACAAGAAAAATAAATAAATTTGTAACTATGTGTGGTGATGATTGTTAATTAAACTTAATGTGCTCATCATTTTGCAATATACAGATAAATCATTATGTCACATGCCTAAAACTAATACAATGTTATATGGCAATTATATGTCAATATAAATAAAATTAAAAGTACAATATAATCACATTTATATAAGTGTAGATACGTTAAAAAAAAAAAGAAAAAAAAAAGAAAAAAAAAAAAAGAGCTTTGCTTTGCTTTGCTTCCAGACTTCTAGTCTCATGGGAATGGATGGG